ATAATCTATGTCCATCGTTCTGATTAGCCAAATTGGTCATGTGAAGAGGAAGGGAGATTTTCTATAATAAAAGAATAAAACAAAGTTAACCAACAAACTAACGAACACACACTTTTTAACAAATGAATATTGGACACGTCCGTTAGATTACATGACCAGTTTCACCAATTGGAACAATGGACGTGGATTATAGCTTGTACACGGTAAAATGGCTAGTCGCTTTTTTTAATTGATTTATCTTTAGGTGCTGCTACTGATAAAGTAATAAATAAAGAATGACAAGCTGTTAGACGATTTATCGGGTATTGTTGGAGACAAAATCGGATCTGTTTTGAGCTTGGTTTTGCAATAAATTTTCAAAACTTTTTTAAATTCAATTTTGTTTGGACAATTTTTTTTAAATAGGTTTTTACTTACAATGTGCTATTACCTAAATGAAAATAAGTGGTGAATCCTAAAATATTAGTTTAATATTAAGGTTTCTAAAATAACATAGCGTATTCATAATTAGAAACATATTGTTTTAATCAAAAATTACACACGTAATCTTTTTTTGCCACTACCAGTATAATCTTTATATGGTTTTCTGAATTTTGTTCAGTGTAAAAAACACTCTGCGATACTATCTTGATCAGCATCCATAACTGAGTGATCATCATAAGGAAGATTAACTTTCTTCTTCTTCTTTCTTTAACTTTTTATTTTTTCCCATCGTCTTCTTTATAAGCTTTACAAGGCTCCTGGTGTGGTAACTCCAAAAATTTGAGAGATTTAATAATCAGTATGTTTGTTCGGGGAAAAAATAAGACAAATTGCCAAAAATTTGGAATTGTCCAAATCTACTGTGTCTTGCATCATAAAATCCTATGGTGAAAACGGTAGTAATGATATAAAAGGAAAAAGCCCGTGCGTGTTTAGTTACGAATCGACAAAGAAGAGAGTTAGTTAAAACCTGCACTTTAAGAGAAATAAAATCTTAGTGGAATGAGGTTACAAAATTATATCTTTCCCAGGAAACTTGCAGAAACTGGATTAATAAAAGTGGCCTTGATTTTTATAAGGTAATTTCAGCAATGCAATTTTTTTAAATACGATGGAACAAAAATATAAAAAAAAAGAAAAACCATTACTAACCGACCGCCAGAAAAAAAGCGTTTGGTTTGGTGTAAGCAACGGCGAGAATGAACACAGGACCAATGGAATTCCATTATTTTTAGCGTTAAGTCTAAATTTGATGCATGTGTAGGAGATAATCGAAAAAGAGTAATTAGGAACAAAAAAGAGGCGTTTCATAAGGATTGTTTTAAACGAACTGTCAAGTTTCCATCGGGGGTTATGATATGGGGCTGTATGTCCGCAAATGGTGTAGGAAATATGCAGTTCATCAATGGAATCGTTAACGATGGAAAATACCAAGACATACTGAAAAATAGCCTAATTCCCAGTATTGAAAAATTGTACCCAGCCGAGCCATTTACTTTCCAACAAGATGGCGCATCAAGTCATACGGCCAAAACCACACGAAATTGGTTTGAAAACCACAACATGGCAGTAATGGATTGGCCTTCCAGCAGTTCTGACTTACATGTCATAGAAACCGTTTGGCATCAAATAAAACAGAAGCTTAGAAAAACTCCACAGATAACTCAGGAAGGTTTAAGGGCTAAAATTCAAGAAGTATGGGACTCTGTGACCGTAGAACAGTGTCGTTTACTAATTCAGGCAGTAATTCAAGCAAAAGGTGATGTTAAGTCATATTAAATAACATTACATATTCATAATTTTTATGTAACAATTTAATTTAAATTGTTCCATAAAAATTATGAATATGTAATGTTATTTTAGCCGAACATTTAGTTGTTGGTTTTAATTCAATAAAATATTTTTATTCCAAACAAAAATTCTGTTATCTATTATCATCAGTAGCCAGAAAAATGGCGATTTTATAACCAAAGAAAAAAAATTACAATATTACAATAATAAGTATATTTCATCAGTCAGTACATTAAGAAAATATTAAGATAGAAATTATGTGGCCGAACATATACATAATTTTTAGGGCTCGTATAACGCCCACTGGAAGTCATGAGTCGTCCCTCCCTGCTTGTATTTCTACGCTGAGGGTGGATTATCCACCGTGGATACAGAGCCACATCTTTACGCGATGAATGTTACAATTGCACATAAAACCTTCAAAACAAGATACCGTGTTGCTCATTCTTGACGTCCATTTCAGCCATACACGGAATCTAAACGACACGTCGTTTAGATTCCGTGTTGACCCAGCTCGGCCTTCATATTTTTGCGTGGAAATACAAGCAACGGAGGGGCGAGTCTTCCGGCGGCATTCATGATTGAAACGACGGTTAGTATACTATAGGTCTCCTTTTGGCATCAGTGACAGCTCTTACTTGTTTTTCTTTCTTTAGGGTTATGATTTTAGCAATTTTAAATTGGACAGGGGTGATACCGATTTTACTCTTAGACCGTTGAAATGTAGCTTCACCATAACTGGTTTCAAAATATTAAAAAAAAGGTTAATGTTTTTTGGGGTTAAACCTATAATATTATTTTTAGAAATTTCCTGCATAAATAGGTTGGGATGATGTCTAAGGAAATTTTGAAGCAACCCCAAAGGTTTAACCTTAATATGTGAATTGTTATGCTTGACAGAAGTGTTTTATTTAAATACTTAGGCCTAATCTAGTACATTTGGGTCTATTCTAGTACACTTTTGCCAAATTTTACTCTTATATACCTACTTTTTTATAACAGATTTCAGAGAAACAAATAAACATCTAATCCTATGGTGACACCTAGTTGTAAACAACTATATGATTAACATAGGATTATTTTAAATTTATAACTTTACAAAAAAAGCTAACAAAATAACAAATAGTCAGTATAGGAAAATTTAACACGGGTGCAAGAAAGAGGGTAATAAAAGTGAGATAGCAAGAGACCTTAAGAATTTATGACCCATTAATGTCAAAAAGCTTTTAGCATATCTAATTTATAGCCCACCAGCTAGACATATATATGTAGGTAAAGAAGTAATTTATAATAAATTATTTTTTGCTGCAGATGTCAACATTTGTTTTGTTAAGTTTTTTTTCAAAAAGCATAGCGGCAACACGTGCATTTTTTGTTTAAATTACCGAATATTTATTAATTATAAATAATTATCTATATATTAAAAATCCTGAGAACAACGAACAACGTACCACAAAAAATGTAAGTTGATATAATGTATATTTTTATTGCAGTTAGTGCAAACACTCATAGAAAAAATATTCTTATTACGGACTGTTACAGACAGAAAATAATGTGCAGTACGGTTATTAATTACTTAAAACATTTATTGCCATGTATTTCGTTTAAAACTTACATCTTAACAATGTATATTTATGTAAATATATCTATTTAGATGCCCTATTTTTTACCAGTTGTAAATAGTTTTTAAGGACCATATTACGGATATTAAGCATAAGCCATAAAAAAGAAGTCGAACTAACTATGATATGGCTTAACTACGATAATTTTACCTTAGCATTCAATGCTCTCGAGAAATTATTTTAAATAATGCCGACCCGCGAAATTATTTAAAAAAATAACATAAGTACAACAAATTTACTATAGAACACCAAGTGATGAGTGATTTTTCAAAAGGTCGTATTTCCATTTGCAACAATTTTTCAAAAAAATGACTATAACCTGTATAGGTCAGGGAAATATAGATTATTTTAAAAAAAAATCTGATGAATATTTAATAATACTTCAGACCTGCTGTCATATTTCGCCGTTAATATATGCCTTTTAACCATACCTTTGGGATTTTGTCAAAAAAATTACATTCAAGTAAAAAATGGAAATAAGGCCTTTTGAAAAATCACTCCTCAAGTGTACTCGGTATACCTACCAGATGTACTTAAGAACTAAATATGTACGATGTCCAAGCATGTCATAATATTAAAGTAAAATAGCTTATTTCAAATAAATACGAGTAAAAGTACAAATTGTACTCTGGGCTGAGTAGTACTCAGTAAGTACCCACATAGAAAGTACTTAAAGTACAAAATATATAGGTATAAAACTCAGGCTGTAGCTCTGAATTCTAAAGAGAACAAGCAAATGTAATCACATATGGTTCTAAAATGTCTCTTATATACTTATGTGCAGTCATTGACCCTCCGTTAACTACCACTAACTCTTTACGTGCCTCTAAACTTATGCCTCCCCAAACCGTAATTAAGCCACCACCAAAATTACTTTCTGGAACAATATTGAACTAAAGAAAACTTTTCCCAGTTATTCGCCATACTATTTGCCGTCCATCTGAAGAATTGAGTCAAAATCGCTACTTATCTGTAAAAAGGATTTGGCCCCATTCATCAGTACCCCAAAGTTGGTGTTTTGGACTAAAACATATACAAGCGACATTCCCTGGTTAATTCTGGGACATTTTAATCCGTATTTTTCTAACGTTTCTTTCACAAACTGCCACACCCCTAAGTTTCTAACTGGTTTTTCGGCACTCTTAAGGTTAAAAAGCGGTTGTCCAGAGCAGTTGTACACCTTCTTCGGTCTGACCCAAACCTTCTAATAAAGCCTCCCGTTTCTCGAAACCGCTACACTGCCCTTCGAACAATACATCTTGAAACATTTAGCACCCGAGCCACATATTATTGCAATAGGTCTGGCCTAATCTGTTGAACTTAAAACCATATTTGGCTTTCTCAAATACACTTTTTATTTAGATTGAAATAAATATTATACATACAATGTAAAAATAATCAATTTCATTATTTTCATTCATTATTTCAAGCCGATTTATAAATCTTATTGTTCCTTTACGAAGTGTATATGTGAAAATTGTGTTTTAATATTGTATAATAGGAAGTACACAAATATAATATGTGTCCCCAATAAAAATCTTAAAAAATTAATTAACTTAATAAAAAATACATATGTTTTTCGAAAATATATTATTTTATTTAAAACCGTTTCAGACATAATAATAATAATAAAACATCTTCAGAGGCGCCCCTTAGGGAAGTTTTAGGTACCTTAGGCACCATTTGCCGTCCATATAAAGTTTTCTTCTCATTGCACCCTGTATAATATATTTTGCAAAAATACTTAAACACAAATAATTTCCTGTGAAAGTAGAAATTTTTATTGTTAATTTAATTCAATTACGTATACATTTGTCCAAAAAAGGGTTTTATGTTTATTAAGTAAATTAATATTATGACATCAATTTTTTAGGTATAGTCTATATTAACTATAGTTAGAATACTAATTAACTATTAATTTCTCTTTACACAGTAAATATTTCATCTAATGGTATATACTCCATTATGTTCCCTAAGCCCAATTTAAAAATGCTGCTTATAATTTTTCCTACACCAGGTGCCAATTCTACTACCACTGATCTCCAGTCTGCATTCAGTGCCTTATTTGTTGCTTGGCCTAAAATATAGTCTTAATTTTTAATTACTAAATACAACTTAATAAGTTCTTACTAAGTTGGTCATTTCCTGTAACAACATTATCGAATTGGAATATAACAAGATCCATGTCAAAAACAATATTGCTATCTATAATGTTACCATATTGCTTTCCATGTTTTTCTTTGACTTCATAAGTGGCTGTCCAATTAAAGAGAACATTAACTAAAAGTAATTAAATTTTAATATTAAAAAAGTATAGGTTATTAATTACACAGTGGAACTGTAAATAATCCCTATTATATAGGCGCCATGCTGTATAATAAACTGCCTGAACCTATAAGAAACTATTTGTTTGATAAATTTGTGTTAAATGTAAAAAATATTTTGTTATTGCATGCTTTTTATTCGATTCAGGATTATTTATCATACGAATTCTGATGTTTATATTTGGTTTATTGTATTTAATTTAATTGTATTTTCACTTTTTCTTTTTTGACGTATCCTATATTACTTTGTAATCCTTTGAATACATAAATATTATTATTATTATTATTATTGTATATTCTACTTCGTGTACAAATTTTTAAACATGTATAAACATTTTTTGGATACTTACTGGCAGTAATGTTTGCATTGTCCTGTCCATCTATAACGATAGGTCCTAAATTTCCTTTAAGATGATATGGACCTATTAAAGATCCATTATCAATTAAAACTTGAACATAAATTGTCTTCTCTTTAGGATTTATTCTAAAATGAATAATATATTTATTTTAAGCTGGTAACAAAATCATTTATGTTAAGTACCTAATATCCTTATATTTTCCTCTTTCAAGCCCATATACTTTCATCTCATTGAATTTTAGGCTTAATCCTGGACCATCTATTTCAACTTTTGGGACCACCATAGGTATAATAGGAGGTATTTTGCATCCCTTGTTTCCTACATATTTTTAATCTGTAAAAATGATATTCATGTTCAATAACTTACCTATAACAAAGTGGGCCAATGTTTTTTCTGCTTCTTTTCTTTGACACTCTGAATCATCTACCCTACATGTTTTAAATGGTTTTTGGCCTAAAAATATAGTATTTATATTACAATAATTTTGACAAAATTACGCTTCTACATTTGCAGAACACAGCAGACATAAAATAAAAAATAAGGATGTATTTCTTTAGCATTATTACTGTTCACAAGTTCGGATATAATAGGAATAATTAAAGATAGATTTATTGATTTATATAGTGCTTCAGTTAAAAATTATGCAAAAAATATTGCATAACATGTTTTTAAATTTAATCCTTAAATAATGACATCCTAAAAGATAAAAAACCTTTTCAATTATAATTGTTTGTTTATTATATTGTTTAAAAACATGAATAATATATATATATATATATTTATAAAATGTATTTAACTCAAACTAATAAAATATTTTTAAATGCAATTCATAAGTTTAAAAGTTTTTGGAATATATACAAATGTGCAAATTAGACTGATAACAAAAAATCTTTTTACAAAGGCACATGTTCAATAGTTTTAAGAGGAAATAAGACACCTTTTATGAGCACTTTTAAAAAAAAATAACAATTTTCTTGACTTAAAAATTAATTGAATGAGCAACTATAGAATGTATGTACCCTTGTTTATAAATGAACGTAAACGTTTGACGTAACTTAAGTAAAACGGAATGAAACAGAAGAGTTTGCCAACATTTATCTTTTACAGTGCGTTTCTTACGTCTGGCCAATAGGGAAGCAGTAAACTTAATTATTAAAATAACGACTATTATCTATGAATGACATTTGATAGTTTGTGTTTGTGCTAAAAAATGGGCGGTGAACAATAGTTTTATTTTCAAAAAACTTCTCATAACGTTATTTGAATATTTTAGATAATTTTGAGTTGTTAATTAAACTGATACAGCTACTTGTATGATAAGTCAAGTATGAATTTTAAAGACCCGCAGATGGCAACAAATTTCTGAAGAACTGGGAATGTCAGGTATGTTTATCTTGTGTAAATGAATCGAAGTAAATAACCTTATTCGCGTTTTGCACTGCTTACACAGAGAAAAGTAATCTCTTGATTTAAGAAAATGCATTTATTTGAAACAGTTTTTCTTGTATGAAGTAAAATTGTCTTATTCGTAGTAACTTCTTGTTTACAATAAGAAAATACTATTATTTGGTTGTAAATCATGAGTTTCTTGAAAACAACTTATTGTTGTGATTAATTGTAAAGAAATATTTATTTAGAGCAATTAATTAAATTGTTTGGATATAGGTTGTAGGGATTTAGTTTTATCAAATGTTAATACAAGCATATAATATCTTATTTTAACAAAATAATAGAATTGATACAAGTAAATGTTTTGTTTCTTTAAGTAAGATAAAAAGTCAACTAAATATTTACTTGTATTAAACAAACCATCAGTTTAAAAAGTCAAATAAACCCAAGTTTTCCACTAAATAAATATCTTCTTGTATCATATCGAAATAAATAATTTATTTGAGTCAAGACAGATATAGTAAAATCAAGAGATTACTTTTCTCTGTGTATAAATGTACATTTTTTTATCGTTTTTCTAGTGAAAGATTGCCAAAGAATTTTGACCAATTTACGTAATAAGGTGGAGCTACTGCTACTCCACAATGGGAGTACTTGGATTCCATGTCTTTTCTAAATTCATATGTTAAACCCAGAAAGTGAGTACAGTATTAAATATGAGCTTGTTTAATTACTACAAAAACACCTACTTTTAGAACACATTCAAAGACACCAATAGTCAAACCTACTGTGACTTCGCCTTTTCTGTCACCAGTTCTAATCGCCACTTCATCCGACTGCTCCTGACAGAATTCCATGCTGATGTCTCCACAGTCAAACAATAAAAGTAAGGTATGAGGTATGAGATGACTGAACAACCGAGACCAACAGCGGAGCCAGCTAGTAAGGGTGAAGATTAATTTTATTAATTTAAATAAACAAAATGCACATGTACACTTATGGACAACCTCTGCTTAAAATACCCTATAGAGACCTATACAAAATAATCTATCGGGCGCTACCGGATTCAATATGTGCATTTGTCCATGGGTTTTTCCGGATACGGCCCGATAGAAAATGTATAGGAAATTACCTATAGGCACACCATAACTTTTACATTTTTCCTATTAAGACCAATAGAAAATAGCTCAATGAAGGATATATAGGGATATCCCTATAGAGCAACCATAAAACATTTGACAAAATTTTATTAAAACCTATGGGGTCCTATGGGGAAAAATCTAATTTCTACATTTATGTGTATTTTTCCCATTAAAACTAATAGCAAATAAATCAAGGGTGGATATGCCTATAGAACAACCATAAATACCAACTATGGGTCCTATACATACCGATACACCCTATAGAAACACCATACATTCCGATACAAATATCTATCGGTTTGAACATGGTCTCTTTGGGGTATTTTAAGCAGGGACATTATCAAATTTTAATCTGATCTGAATCTCGAAAATGTCCCAAAGGATTACTTAACTGTTATTAGGGAGGAGGATTAGGACTATCAAGCTCAACCACCCTTTGGAATTTGGAATTTTGGAAAAAAACATCTCTTTTTTTCCCTGTAGTATAATGCTATGTATACACAATATCGTATTCTCAAAATTAGACGTAAGTCAAAGAATCCACTATTGCTCATTTTTTGGACTAAACTGGAAAATAACGACAATTTTCGATAAATTGGCATATAATCGTAGTAAGCCGCGATATTCACAAAATCTCGAAAACGTTCCGAGGGATTACCTTACTTATATTAGGGAGGGGTAATACGACTATCAAACCCAACTGCCTCATGAATGGGAATAACTGCGGAAAAAATACATCTCTTCGTTTATCACCCTGTAGTATAATGATATGTGCAATATATCGTATTCCCAAAATTAGACATACGAGTCAAAGAATCAGCTACTCAGAATTTCCAAAGATTTTTCAATAACTAGCTTTCAAATATTTTACAAAAAACAAGGTGCGTCGATTTTTATGACAAGCAGTTTATATGAAATATGTTTTTAATGCCATTCGTGGGTAGGTTATCTGCAGAAAGCGGTTTGCACACCGCAGCACCAAAAAGTTTACCTTTATGTATTTCATAATCCATTGTGACAAGGAAGACGAAACAGAATTAAACAAACACAGACACAATGTTTATGATTTGTAGGTTATGTCACAGAACAGATGGGTTATGAGAAAAAAATCTGTTCCGTTGATTTATAAATTGAATACTTCTTTACAGTCCGTTTTTTACGTATCCAGTGCGTCTACGTTCCGTTCCGTTTCGTCAAACTATAAATCCGGCTTTAATCTCGGAAAACCTTAATTTTTACATAATTTTAACATTAACCATAAATAACTTTTAAAAGACTTTACAATTAGGGAGGTGAAAATATCACAGCTAAACGCTCGGACACGTAAACTTCATTTTTGGTCGTAGATTACAAATCCGTGCTTGGTTTAGCTGTATCAGGTCAAAATTCAAAAATTTTAAAAGTTAAATTTGGCGGGACCCACACATCAGTTCCAAATTAAAAAAATAACAAATTCTTGCAAAATTTGAAGTTAATTGATAAAAAGATACACGTGTCCCTACGGGTTTTTCTTAGATACTTAATTTAGGAATTTTGAAATGTTTTTTGCTGATTTTTTTTTTATTGAGTATAATTGAGGATATTATATTAAATGAATTATAAAAAGCATAAAACTGTTGGCACAAGAGGTAAATTATAATATTTTACAAATTATAATATACCAGTACATATGCAGTGTGTCCCCGGATCGGATTTCCAATATAAAAACTATTTTAGACCTGATATAGCTAAACCGAGCCCGGATTTGGAATCTACGACCAAAAATTATGTTTACGTGTCCGAGCGTTTAGTTGTGATATTTCAAAAGTTAAAAATTTACCTACTGTATACAGTGTTATTTATGTATCGGAGAATTGAGGAGCATCCGTGCAAAACCGGCTATATCCACTTAAATAAAATGTTGGGAAAATGACAAAAACTCTAGGTTTCCTGGCCTTTACAGATAAAAGAAAAAGCAAACTTGAGTTTTGTGGGCTTTGTGGTACTTGATTTATAAGACATACTTTCGTTTTCAAAAACTTTATATTAAGGCCAAAATTTCAAAAAATATTTTGTATATAGCCGGTTTTGCTCAAAAACCGAATAAAATGTGAAAAAAAACCTTTATTATTCAAAAATATTAACAACATAAATTTAGTGCAAACATGAAAAAACAGAACAAATTTTAGTAGTAGTATCGACATATCCAAGCCACATTCTCATCATCATTATTATTTATTCGATATAGCCGGGTTTGCCATAAAAACGTGGATTTGGCCGGTTTTGCTCCTAAAACTACCTTTTAAATGTGATTTTAACATGGATATAGTCGGATTTAAACAGAATTATCTTGGTTGTCGATAGAAATGAACCCAAAGATGCGAAATCAGAAAAAAACCAAAAACTGAATAAAATGGATTTACCCGGTTTTGCACGGATGCTCCTCAATTATTGTGTACATTGCCTCGTTACAGAGCAAAAAACTCAAAAATAACTTAAATTATTTTCCCATGTTTATTTGATGACAAAATGGAAAATTGCTTTCAGTAACTACTAAATATTAATATTAAGGGCTCAAATTTTATTGGGCGTCTAATTTACTCTTTTTACAACTATTACATTGAACAAAAAAAGATCGAATATTTTCAACCACATATGCAAATAAAAATGATCTATTATTTTATTGTCAAAAACATAAAATCTTGATTGCCTTACCTTAATAACAACAAACCAAAGGTTATGTTTTTTTATAAATAAAATTAGTTAGCTAATGTAAACATATTAATAATAATTGTTAGTAAAAAAGAGCAAATTGATTTAAATTATAATTATAATATTAATCTATTTACAATATATAATTATAATTTTAATTGTGTAACTATTAAATACCGGACTCTTATGCACTTTAAAATTGTAAAAAAAACTTAAAAACAGACAAAAAATTAAAATTTCGAAAGCACCGTGCTTAAGCAGTGGCAAGACTTAAATTTAAATTTAAAATGCGTAAAATATAAGGGTGAGTTAATAAATCCGTGTCATCAAAAGCAAGAATGGACAACGATTTTTATTTTACCATGAAG